GAACTGAGGCCAAGAAGTTATTAAGTAGTTTGTCCAAAGCCACTCAGCCCTCTGATCCCTCCTTCTCTCACATATACACCTCACTCATAGGACTAAACAACATACTTCAAAAAATCTCTTAAATTATGATGACAAACCTGCACTTGACAATAGCTCTAGTTAACCCCAGGTCTCCCCGCAAGGTCAAGGATTAAGCAGTCTACTTACTCATCACTACATCTTTTCTCACTCCATTCATGTTTGATTTGTACCAAGTGGCAAGGGTGTGGATAGCAACATAGTTGGCTTCAAATTCACAATTTGGATTAGTAAGGACTCCTTTTAACCGTGGGATGAGTTCTGTGGATCTTCCTTTGTATGGGCCCAGAAATAGTCTCTTCTGATCATAATCATTAGCATGAATGTTATCCCAGATTACTGGAGCTCTCTTAATAATCTTAGAAACCTCTTCAATAGACTCCACTGGAATTTCTTTAGAAACAACTTTCGGACCTAGAAATAATGACAACCATTTGTTAAAAGACCCTCAAACATGATTCTTCAAAATATACTGAATTCAATTTTTTATTGTATTTTGTTATTTATGTACTTTCTGACAATTTTTCTTTTCAAAGTAACACAGCAACATGTCTTTTTGAGTGTTCAGTTTTACCCAACCCCTCCCCAATATTTCCTCAGGTCAGATTTCTAGAAATGGAATTAGTAGTAAAAAGATATGGATATTTAAGGTTTGGGCAGGCTTCCTCAAACTGGTATGTTATAAGGAACAAATTGTTGGGGTGCCTGAGGGGCTCAGTTAGTTAAGCATCCAACTTTGACTCAGGTCATGATCTCAAGGTTCAGGAGTTCCAGCCCCACACCGGACTCTGTGCTGACAGCTCAGAGCCTGGAGTCTGCTTCAGATTCTGTCTCTGTCTCTCTCTCTCTGTCCCTCCCCTGCTCACCTCTGTCCGTGTCTCAAAAATAAATAAACATAAAAAAAAATTTAATGTAAACAATTTTTTCCATTATAATACAGCTTGTTGATTAATAACTGTTAATTCGGCAGGATAGCTTTCATTTTATAAAACACTCTCCCCCTATGGCTGAGATCAATACTCTTTAGCCCAGTTCCCTACACATCTATTATTTATCAGCAACTGATACTCAGATTCACTGCAAAATCCTTAAAGATGTTTTTTATACTAAATGAAGAATGTATACTTCATAAAAGGGAATTTTAACAACAAAGTTTTCTGGTTAAAGTTGTTTTCAAAAAGTATCCAATTAACCAGAAAAACCAATTTCTAAGTTCTAGTTAACTAAAGTTTTACTGTATAAATCTTAAAGACTTACCTGTCCAAAGCACCTCAATTCCAGGGAGAAGCTTTTCACCCACAGTCCTTAAATAAGGAGACTGAGACACATTTGGGTAACAGAAAGTGCCACAATATTCTGAATGTAAAAAGGAAAATTAAGTAAAATAGTTAGGAGTGAAATGGTCACGAGTTTTTAAATGGGGGGAAAAAATGTCTACCAATTCTAAATTCTTTTCATACAAATGATAAAGAGCTTCCAAGTCGTATCTCAAAGGAATTAAACTCAAGTGGATAGTTCATTAAAGAATCAATTAAAAATAAAGAAAAATAAGAATCAATTCATAAAATCTGATACTCTTCCCCCAATAATACATATCAATCCTTATAATCCTACAGTCATTAGAAATACAAGTTTACTAAAGAAATAATTAGAATGTTTAGTATTTTCTACATACTTTGAATTGGCTACATTTCTCTTACAATTAGAGGCCAAACAAAATGAATTGACAATATCATAACAGACAAAATGCAGTATTATGTGCCATGTTATTAAGACTCAACTGCAACTAAATAGTAATTTGCAGCTTCTGCACTGCAAAGAAAACAATCAGCAAAACTAAAAGGGAACCAATGGAATGGGAAAAGATATTTGCAAATGACATACCAAATAGTTAGTATCCAAACTCTATAAAGAACTTAACAAACTCAACACCCAAAAAACAAACAATCCAGTGAAGAAGAAATGGGCAAAAGACATGAATAGACACTCTTCCAAAGAAGACACCCAGATAAACAGACACCTGAAAAAAATGCTCACCACCACTCATTATCAGGGAAACAGAAATCAAAACCACAATGAGATAGCACTTCACACCTGTCAGAATGGCTAAAATTAACTTAGGCAACAACAGATGTTGGTGAGGATGCAGAGAAAGAGGAACCCTTTTGCACTGCTGGTGGGAATGCAAACTGGTGCAGCCACTCTGGACTACAGTATGGAGGTTCCCCCCAAAATTAAAAATATAACTACCCTACAACTCAGCAATTACACTACTAGGTATTTATCCAAAGGATACAGATGTGCTGTTTCGAAGGGGTACATGCACCCCAATGTTTATAGCAGCGCTATTAACAACAGCCAAAGTATAGAAAGAGCCCAAATGTCCATCGACAGATGAATGGATAGTGGCACACATAAACATACATACATGCATACATACATACATACATACATACATACAATGGAGTATTACTCGGCAATCAAAAATGAAATCTTACCATTTGCAACAACGTGGATGGAACTAGAATGTATTATGCTAAGCGAAATTAGAGAAAAATACCGTATGACTTCACTCATACGTGGAATTTAAGATACGAAACAGATGAATATAAGGGAAGGGAAGCAAAAATAATATAAAAACAGGGAGGGGGACAAAACCTAAGAGATTCTTAAATATAGAGAACAAATTGAGGGTTGCTGGAGGCGTTGTAGGTAGGGAGATGGGCTAAATGGGCAAGGGGCATTAAGGAAGACACTTGTTGGAATGAGTACTGGGTGTTATATGTAGGGGATGAATCACTGGATTCTACTCCTGAAATCATTATTTGCACGATATGCTAACTAACTTGATGTAAATTAAAAAATAATAATAATAAAGCATAATTTTAAATTTAAAACAAGTAAACATTTCAGAAAACATTAAAAAATAACAAATAGTAATTTGCAATGAATTAAGTAATTCCCAATATAATCTTATTAAACATTATTTGAGTACTCCTGTTATATCAGACCTCTGAGATAAGGTTCATGGCTCACAGGATTCTCAGACATATACACAAAGTTAAATAATTCAGACAAAATTTCTTAGAACAAATTTATTTATCTCTTCCTGAAAAAGAAGGGGAAATTCCTTATAAGCCTAATTTTGAGAGGCAACTAAGAGAGGCTAATACATTATCAATGGAAGGAACCAGGGAGGCAAGGTGAGAGAGGAAAAAAATTAAGTGAAGTGACGTTATTTAGCAAGTTTTCTATGCTGAGTCCTGGAATTCCAGAAGAGCCCAGATGGAAGTAGGAGGCGTGAAAAAAGATACAGATATGCATAGGCAAAAAAAAGGAACAAGTAGGAGGAAATGAGAAGTGACTAAGTTAAAAGCAATGTAAATTTGTTTTCTAGTTTTACATTTGATAATACTATCCTTCCTTTAATCCTGAAAATGTAAAGTTCATACACTTCCAGTACTAAAAAATACATGAAATCTTTTGCCTGTTCAGTTGCCATTTATTAGTCCCTAAAATTTCTCAAGTGTAGGACCTTGAGAAATGTCTTCTAGAAAAAGAATTCCTACTTTTATACACCAAAGGGAGAGAGGACAACACAATAAAGGCCGTATATAGTTCTTTGAAAATGATGTATTTCAAGAAGTCTAGTTAAATATAAAGCTATTATATACAATACCTGTGGGACAGAAGAGGAAAGTTTCTGGCTCTCCTAGGTATTGATAAATTTCATTTGTAATGGAGACCTGGGCATGAGCAAAAGAACTGAATACCTCTTTGTCTGCTGCACACATATTATGGTCAATATCATCAAAAAGCAAGGCAAATGACCTGCACCCAAACTGAGAAACCTAGGAAAAGCAGGGGGGGGAAAAAAAGATGATTCAGCGGCTCTTTTTAAGTAAATAAACACCTGGCTGGATCAGTCCGTAAAACATGCAACTCTTGATCTCAGGGTCATGACTTCAAGCTCCACACTGGGCACAGAGCTTACATAAAAAATAGGATTAAAAATATTAATGTAGACACTTAATAGCTCTATCTAAAAGTCAAACATTTTTCTTAGTAGAATGTTCAAAGCCACACCAATTTTTTTTACATTTTCTATGTTAAACAGCTAGACAAGTTGGAACCCATTTTTCATTTGAGTTTGAATGCAGTATGTTCCAACAAAGCTTCAACGATATTGCCTATCCCTACCTCCCTGGCTGCTGATTATAGAAGACCAGACAGACAGAAAAACAGAAATAGTAAGTGAACTCAAGAGATGAAAAACCTAGGCTTGTTCTAGTCCCAAAGACACACTGATCCTAATTAATCTCTGCACATAAACCTAACTAGTCCATAAATCAGAAGGAACATAGTATTTGATCAGATAGGGAGACAACCTCTTAAAAAGCATATTCATGGAAATTAAACCTCCTTATTAAATTTTTTACCATCTTAATGCCATCAATAATATAAACCTTTGCCTAAAGAAACACGCAAACATATATATGTATTATGTATCAGCAAATTTACTTTACCAGAAAAAATGTGCAGCTTTTATGTTATGCAGAATTTAGATTCCAATCAGGCTTACCAATAGCTTATTTGTTTACCTAGTCTGTTTTCCTTCTGATCTTTGGAAACCAGTCAACCATATGGAGACTGGATTATACCTCTTGTCCATATTAACATATTACATGTAAAGGCACTTACATCTAACAGGTAACACCCTGTTTCTATTAACCTCAATCACAAATTCAGTCAAGTACCCAATAATATACAGAGCTTCTCAAAATGCGATTCTGGACAACCTGAATTTTTAAAAATTTTTTTTTCTTTTTTTTTGAGAAAGAAAGGGAAAGAGCGGTATCACATGCACAGGGGAGGGACGGAGGGAAAGAGAGAGAGAGAATCTTAAGAAGGATCAGGCCAACTGCGGAGCCTGACTCAGGGCTCAATCTCACAACTGTGAGATCATGGCCTCAGGCACCCAGGCACCCCTGGACAACCTGAATTCTAAAGTAAGTCCCCACTCCCAAGTCTGTATTTCCACCCCAAGTCAGTTTAAGAATCTCTGGAAATGAACCCTATTAGCAACTTTTTAAGCATCACTTCTAAGCATTTCTTCTACAGCAGTTCTTATGCAAACCAAAGCCTGAGAAGCACTGGTACCTCCAGTAAAGCTCTCTTGACTCATGTTAGAAAATATCCTCTATCAAAAGCATGAAGGTAAAAAAATTGTACAGAAGCAAAGAAGTATAAATTTGGCGTCCTTTTAACATTATTAAAAGCAACTCAGAAAACTTTGTTTCCGGTATACCAAATCAGGGGGAAATAATGAAAAAGTAAAGCTACCTGGTCCAGTTTGCGTTTCAATGTAGATACTTCCTTGGGGTTAGAAAAAGTAATATCCAATCCAGGTGAGATAGCATAGATGAACTCTATCTCATATTCTCGTGCAGCAGAGATGAGTGTCATAAGTTGCTCTGAAGAAGAGAGTCCACGTTTTTAGAATGTAGCACAGAAAACTAAAAGAACCTTCACCTTTCAACTAAAGACAAGAGGTCATTTTCTCCAATTTACGATAGGTCAAGAAAGGAAAAATCCCTGAAATTTTACATGTTGGTCATGTCCAAGGTGATAAGTCATACAAAATGCCACAAACCTCATGTGGCTTAATGTCACCCTAAAATCAATAAAGCATTCTCTTTCTTTCATTGCCATTTCTCAGAAATATTGAATTAAGCATTACTTCTCTTACTGAACATAAGCCATTTTTATTTCCTACATTGTTTGAGATGTATGGTTTTATTTTTTGCAGTCTCTGAACTGCAATTCTTATATAAAAAAATCTACATATAACTACTTTATAATTTGGAAGAAAAGAAAAATGTGTTCTTAACAACCAGGGTTAAGTGACAGCCTTAACAATCCTTGTCTTTATAACTACAGAAAATACTCATTACAAATCTGAAGTTTTAAAAATGTGACAATTTTCCTAAGTAAAACTAAATTCTATTCTATACACCACTAGACCTATCTTTACATAACTTTCAGTGGTATCTCAAGATAGTCATTTGACTATATTTTGATTATTGATCACATAAAATTTCATTACCAGCACCCAAAAAATAATTAGGTTGAACACACACTTAAATTATATAGAGTAGTAAACAAAAACACTAGATGGAGATGGGATACATTTTAATTGCTTCTTTGTAATTTAAGAAAACTTTCTGCTTTCAGTGTTTTGGCTGCACTCTATAACCAAGTTATCTTATTAGCTACGTACGTGTACCATTTTAATTCCAAGTATGAAATGTTTCCCCGTTTGTAAGTCCCCAAAGAAAAGCACCACTTGTCTAATTTATAAGGAGGTTCTGTTATGTCCTACTCTATTTACTATGTATTTACTATGTATTTACTATGTATTTACTATGTATTTACTATGTATTTACGTATTTAACTTAACATTAAGAACACACATAACAAGGATAGTTTGTGATGGCTTTTCACTTCAGTATAAGCCTAGACTAGGGTGAGGTCTTTATTTTAAATAAAGACAAAACCAAGTAATCAAGTGATCAAGACCAAGCCATTCTTGAGTCTGAAGCAAAAGGACCAGTAATACTGATCCTGTCTTTACTTAAAATTTTGGTATCTTGTTCATGGATTTTTTTTTTTTTTTTTGCATTAATCTTGGTTTAAAACTTGCATAAGATACTATTTATCTTCATCACTGATTTTTTTTGGAGTCCCTTACTTAAACTTTGTACCCAAGGCAGGCATCTCACTTGCCCTGCCCCAGGCCTAGTCCTGCTTTAGTACCTCTTTGTTCAATGGCCCACTGTTTAGACCACTGACAGAAGTTAAACAGTATAATTTATGATTACAGAACAGGTGGGAGTCAGACTGCCATAACCATGAATCACACCATGGCCGGCCAACATGAGTACTTCTTTCAATCCACACTAACTCACACAGAATTTACCAGATAATAAAAATGGAAACGACCTACAAAGAGAAAATGAAATATTTAATAAAATTCTTATAATGTACATTACAGCTCTTTTCTTCCCATATTCTGAATTTATGGATTAAAAAGAAAAAGATTACCAGCTTCTTCCACTGAATACATCTCTCGCCAAAACATCCTATGTTTGTAGTCATCTTTTGGGGCATACAAGTATGTATTTAATTCCCATTTCTGGAGCCTTAAGGGGAAAGAAAATTACATATGTATAAATAGGCAACATGTAAAGGCTGTAAATCCCAAATTTTTCCTTTCCTTGGAGCATCTCCATCTCTTTTTTTTTTTTTTTTAATTTTTTTTTTTCCCAACGTTTATTTATTTTTGGGACAGAGAGAGACAGAGCATGAACGGGGGAGGGGCAGAGAGAGAGGGAGACACAGAATCGGAAACAGGCTCCAGGCTCTGAGCCATCAGCCAGAGCCTAATGACATGGCTCAACTCACGGACCGCGAGATCGTGACCTGGCTGAAGTCGGACGCTTAACCGACTGCGCCACCCAGGCGCCCCCATCTCCATCTCTTAAAAAGCTAGTAATATTCTGGGACAACAGCTTTTAACCTTTTTGTAATCTAGCGGAATTGTAAAAAATTAAAATATTATAAGGAATGCCAACAAATTAAAGTCTTAAATAAAAACAATAGCTCTGAATGACACAGATAAAGCCCAAAACCTATTCAGCTTCCCCAGAAACTTTGAAAACCCCTGGCCTAGGTGAAGGAAAGGTAAAAGACCAAGGTCAAATAACTTCTGCAACTGAGAAATCATCAAAATTCATATGGCCTATTCAGTGTTAGTTTATCTTCAAATAAAAGGAAATATTGATGGTTTAAGACTACTTCACAAAGTAAAAAATTTACCTTCTAAAGAGTTCTTTTCTCTGTTCCATAACCCAAGGTCTTCCATAAAATCCTAGATTCAAAGTAAGAATGAAATTATTTTCAAGTTTCAAAATGTGGTAAACAATTTATTGACAAAAGCAGATTACAAAACATACAATATAATCCCATTCTGAAAAAAAGTGTGTACAATATATCCAAAGGATATTTAGTAAAATATTAAGATGTCTTTGGGGAAAAAAAAAAAACTCATTAAGGTGTCTCTGGATAGTGATATCAGAAAATGACTTTTATTCCCCTTTTATTTAGGTAAATTTTCTTATTTTTCTACCATTAACACTTATTACTTATGCAATATTTAAAAAAAATTTTTTAATGTTTATTTTTGAGAGAGACAGAACATGAGCAGAGGAGGGGCACAGAGAGAGGGAGACAGGCATCCCAAAACCTAACTTTAAAAAAACTTTTTAAAAATAATCTCCACACCCAATGCCATGCTGGAACTTATGACCCAGAGATCAAGAGTTAGATGCTCTGACTGGGCCAGCCAAGTACCCCTAAACCTAACTTTCTTTCTTTCTTTTTTTTTTTTTTCAATGTTTATTTTTGAGAGACAGAGGCAGAGAGAAAGGGAGACTGAGGATCCCAAGCAGGTTCCAGGCTCCGAGCTGTCAGCAGAGCCTGCACTGGGCTCAAACTCACCAACCAAACCCTGAAATCATGACCTGAGCAGACTGAGCTACCCAGGTACCCCTAAACCTAACTTTTTAAAAGATCTCAATCTTACAATAGAGGAAGGGGAAGCAAAGTAATCCCAAACCACTAATAATAACAATTACTACTTGAGAGAGGAATTGAATTGCCTTTAGAGTGGGAGATTTAAAAAAAAAGTAGGGAAAAAAACAGGAACAGAATTAGGAAAGAATCTGACTGAACCAATTTTATGATCGCCTTATTTTTTTTTAAAGTTCCTGATACAATAAAAGGGACCAAAAATGCCTTAAACTATATTCACAGCAAACTCAACAGTGGAACTGGCCCAAAAAGGAAACTCTTGAGGAGTCTCAATTCCAGAGCAAAGGTTTGAACAACTGGAAATCAAGAATGTGACTTGCTCCACTGTCCCAGAAGGGAGGTAAATCACTAGTAGTGCATAATGCAGGAAACAAACCAGCAGAGGAATGACTTCAGTCCTGATATAAGCACCAAACTGGTACTTCCAGCTCCACTGTGTGCGAATCACACCTTATAGCTTGCCTAACCTTTATTTTCCACCCGTCTCGGTCTAATCACCTGCAAGAGAGAAGGACAGGGGCGCCTGGGTGGCTCAGGTCATGATCTCGCGGTCTGTGAGTTCGAGCCCCGCGTCAGGCTCTGTGCTGACAGCTCAGAGCCTGGAGCTGCTTCGGATTCTGTGTCTCCCTCTCTCTCTGCCCCTCCCCTGCTCATGCTCTGTCTCTGTCTCAAAAATAAACATTTAAAAAAAATTAAAAAAAAAAAAGAGAGAGAGAAGAACAGCCCCTCAGGAGTACCATGAAGATGGTTAACATATTATGAACATAAAATGCTATTCTCTCTCACACACACACACACGCAGAAAAAACACAGTCTACTTAAGACTACCTAAAACTGACATTTCTGTAAGGTATTAAACTCGTCTCTAGACACGATGGTTATTCTGCACAGCAAACATGGACAAAGACAACAAAACAAAAACTCATTGCATACTATGTATGAAACTGCAGCACTTTCCATCAATAATTCAGTTACCTTCTTACAAGTAATTTAGGGGCACTTGGATGGCTTAGCGGGTTAAGCGTCAGACTCTGGCTCAGGTCATGATGTCCTGGTTCGTGGTTTCAAACCACCCTGTGCTGACAGCTCAGAGCCTGAAGCCTGCTTCAGATTGTGTGTCTCCTCCTCTCTCTGCCCCTCCCCCGTGCACGCTTTCTCTCTCAAATAAACATTTAAAGAATTAAAAAAATTTTTTAACATTAGGTAAATTTTATACGTCTTTACTGCTTTCCTACAACATTTAGCATTATCATTTTTCTCTCCAAGGAATAGGCATTAAACACTCCTTTAGAGTTGCTTCAATGTATAAAAGAAACATTTTTATCTTCAGAAGCCCTAACTTTGCTCTGAGTCAGGTTCATGGTTTTGGTTAACTGGCACCACAAAGAGGAAGCAGTGCTATTATGCAAGTTACAACCAACAAAGACTTGTGAGGGAAAGAAAAATTTTAAAAAGGAATCCTGCCAATCCCTACGTTATTTCCTTTCTTCATTCATTTTAGGAATACCAACTTAGGAGTACTTAAAAAAAAATCAGGTGCTCAGTCACCAAAAAAATACAGAGAGATATGGAGGGAGGAGGAACAATAGATAACAGACAACTCTATTCTCTGAGTAGTTCCCTTTCAATACTATTCTGAAAAAACAAACCAACTTAAACCACAAGCTTTTCTCCATAATTACTGAAGATGTAATAGACAAAATTTCTTTAACCTTACTCTCGTCTAGCTCTAAAATTTCTATATCCTCCAGCACTCTTCAACCCTCCACCCAAAGATCCCTGATGACAAAAGACTTTTTCTAGAATCTCCATGCACGCAAACAAGCCCAATTAAATACACCAACAGATTAAGTCACACAGAGCAATCATGTTTCCACAAACATGGACTCCAAATACATAAGTAGCTTTCCATTCTGTCTTCCCCCCAAATTCTACAAGACCTTTAACTCTGCAGAACTGTTTCACTCCTTACTGTAGCTACATAGTAGTCTGTTTTCTCCTCCAATTAATTTATCTAAAATACCACAACCACGACCCACCCTTCAAATAAACACTCTTTGTAGGCTGACAACACTAGAAAAGCTGAAGCTCTCAACGTATAGGGAAAACCTTTCTACTTCTCCATACCTTTTTGGTCTTTTGTAACAACTAATTCTTATACAGTGTTACTCCCATGCATCCCATTACATACAGGAAAGAACTAATAAAGCAAACAACTAGGAAACTCTAAGTAGGCCAAAAGACTTCAGAAAATTAAAATATATGCTGTACTCAAGGAAACAGCAATAAGGCAACTGACTCATGCTTCCACAGAATACTTGGTCGAATATTCACTATATTCATAAACTGCGATACAATCTTCAGGTCATTTTCCCCAACGACAAAAATAAATAATCAAATTAAATAATTAAATAAATCCTGCATTCTTTTTAAATGGGAAGTGAGAAAGTCAAAAAAAACATTTTAAACCTCTTCTGCAGCTCCTAAATTAAAATTCTGTACCCCTGATAATATCTAAGTCAAAGCTTCATCTCCTAGAGCCAAAGCACAGCAGCTGGCAAAGGACAATTTTGTAGGCTGCAAGAGAATCTTCAAAGGGTGGGGGGCAGGGACTGACTACAAAAAAAAAAAAAAAAAAAAAAAAAAAAAAAAAAAAAAAAAAAAAAAAAAAATCTAAGCAAACGGGAATTTGTAAAATCATAGCTCCACTGTGCTTCTCTTCGCTCCCGGAGTACAACAAGCACATCCGTGTGGATGTTATTTTCCCCCCCACGGCTGAGGACAGCAGGACTATACACGTTTTTCCATTTGAACATAGACCACCCTACGGAACAAGATCCCAAAGTACAAAGACTTGTAACTCAGAGCCTAACACTAGGCTCCTTACTACCGCCTCCGCAGGAGCCAGGCCTGGCTCCAGCCCAAGGCGGGTGGGGTCAGGCATGTTAATAGCCAGAGGGGAATTCAACGCTGCATAACAACGTGAGAGAAGACTTGCCCACCATCTCGCCTCTCCCCTCTCCAAAACAGGATCAAGTTTCAGGACCCAAAGAGTGACACCTTTTTAGAGCCTCCTAAAGTATCCCCCACACGAGCAGAGAATGTTACTGGGACGGAACGGGAAGGAGGACGTTCTCGCCCAGCCCGCGCCAGAGCGCTCACCTTCCACTACGCCACATAGGAACCTCCGAGCTCCTCCTGCCGCCCCAGCCACCGCTGCTCCCCCGGCCCCGGCTGGGTTGTCTTCTCCGGGGGCCGGAGCTGCTGGCGGCTCCAACGATGCCCCCGCGGAAGCAGCAGGGTTGGAGTTCAGCTCGCTCTCCCGCTCCTCCAGCGCCGCCTGGCTCTCCTTCTGCACCATCCTCCTGCCCCCGGCCGCCGCCACCTCTGCAGGTCCTCCTCGGCCTCCGTCCGTTGGGCCGCCGGCCCGGAGCCCTGGAAAGGGCCTCGGCTCCAAGCGCGCGCCCTTCGTGCTCCTTCCCCTCCCCCTCTGCCCTTCCCCCTCCCTTCCGCAGGGACCCGAATGCCCGGATGAGAAGGGCGGCGGCACCGGCGCGAGCCCTTTGTCAGCCGCTGCCTCAGCCTAAGCTGGGGAGCCGGAAGCCCAAGCGGAGGGCGAGGCCGCGACCTCTCGTTCTCTGGAGGCAGATAGCCAAACCTCCTTTTCTTGGTCGCAGTTAGCTTCTGCTGCTTCCCGATAATCTTAGCTCTTCCGCTGTTCCCCCTCAAAGCCCCCTAGGTCTCCACCACCGCTGCTTCTACCGCCCGCTTCCTGTTTATCCGCACTGCGCCTGCGCTGGAGACCGGCTCAGACCGGTCCCCTCAGCCCGACTCCCCCGCCTTCTTTTGGGCCAGCCTATTGCGCTTCATTCGATAGGGGGAAATAGAACAGAGGAGAAGCGAAAAGCGAGAGATAATGAGGGCGATGGAATGTACCATTTGTGCTCACCACCCTCTAGGACAAAGCAGGCGCCCTGGAACGGACCATTACCCCTTCTGAAGAAGGGGAGTATGGGAGGAGGCTGCAACCGGTTGAGGCAATGGGGAAGGGGGATGAAAAAGAGAGGTGTTTACTCTTTCAATGCGCAAGCGCGGGAACGAAGCCTCTAGTTCTTAAAGAGATACGAAGAAACTGACCTATTTTCTATTGAGATTCTTCTAATAGGTTGGCTCATTACATCACCCTGACCCAGGATCGGTTCTGTGAAGATAACATTCCAAGGAGCTCAGCTCACCCCTCTGCCTTGAATCATTTTCCCCAACCCCCAGTTTGGCGCTAATCCCTTTAAAAATTAAGTCTTTCGTTCATTCCTTCGTTCAGCAGACACTAATTGAGCTTGCCACTTGCTGGGCTCTTGGGTCACTATGAGCTCACAGTATGGCGATGGAGACAAGCAAGTACATACACAATGCCCGCACGGTGTGCCCAAATGTTACGGGACCCCAGAGGAGGGACTGACTTAATCCTCCTTTGGAGAGAGGTGGCAGCCATGGTTTCGCTTTTTGAGCTGGAACGTAAAGGATGAGTAGGAGCTAGAGTAGGGGAGAAGCAAAGAAAGAGAGCACTCCAGGCTTATGGAACAGAGTACAAGTGTAGCAAGGGTTGAAAAGGCCTGGCATCTTTGGGAATGGAGAATGTGAACTGTGTTTAAGGGAGAACTGAGATCCCTTGGGCCTTAGCATAAATATCATTTCCTTAAGGAATCCTTCCCGGGGCCCTAGATGGGCTTAGGTCCTCTTGCTGTTGTTTGTGCTCAGAGTTCCCTGTAGCCCTGTCATTAGGCGCTGTTTACATTTACGTCGGTTGAGAGATCTGTCTCAGCTTGCGAAGTGTGTGAAATGAGCAGCTCACGCTCATTCTGATCATGAAGACTTACTTAGTATCGTCCGTTTTACATTTTGGTCTCATATTCAACTCCTTCAGCGGTAGCCCAACTTAGCTCTCATAGTCCCTCTTCTTTTTAGTCCTAGAGCATTGAGATGGGGGTTACAGGCAAACATTTTCTTAGATATCCTTGGAGGATCTGGGGTTATCATTCCAGCTGACCCCAGCCCTTGGTCTCATGACACTTTCCCCTTTGCCTCATGCGGTGGCAACTGCTATCAAGTCAGCCACAGTTTCATCTACTGTTCTGACTCTGGGGTCCACGGCCCAGGCAAGATCCACTTTCCAGATCTGCACCTCTCAAACTTGAAGGGAAGTTCTTGCTACACATCTCTACCCTCTAGTACCTACAACAGGAACCAGAGGTTCGTAGGCCTATGGTAAATACCTCTGGAATGAATGAGATACATTCATTCATTTTAAATTCTCAGTTTAAATTCTGGTTAGAGAAACACACAATAGCAAATTCAGTACATACACAGGGACTCAATTTGTAATAAGTGCTATAAAGGGAGGAAATCTAATGATGTGATAGAGTAACCACAGCAAGGAAAGGCTACTCCAGATAGAAGAATAAGTAGCAATCTATGAGTGAATCATGATAGTGGCTTGGCCTAGGGAATAGCCGTGGAAACGTAGAGCTGTGGTGCATCTTTGGTGGTGGCAGTAGAATAGAGGGAGGGGGCAGCTGCCCCAGTTGGTAGAGCCTGGGAGTTCTGAGAGTTCGAGTGCCATGTTGGACATAGAGATTACTTTTTAAAAATAAAAAAATAAAGGAGTAGAGGAAGAGGAAGAAATGAAGACTACTAAATTTTATTACTTCTTAAAATATTTTTGATGTTTATTTATTTTTTTTTTAATTTTTTTTTTTCAACGTTTATTTATTTTTAGGACAGAGAGAGACAGAGCATGAACGGGGGAGGGGCAGAGAGAGAGGGAGACACAGAATCGGAAACAGGCTCCAGGCTCTGAGCCATCAGCCCAGAGCCCGACGCGGGGCTCGAACTCCCAGACTGCGAGATCGTGACCTGGCTGAAGTCGGACGCTTAACCGACTGCGCCACCCAGGCGCCCCTTGATGTTTATTTTTGAGCAAGATAGAGGGACAGAGTGTGAGCAGGGGAGGGACAGAGAGAGACATACACAGATAATCCACAGCAGGCTCCAGGCTCTGAGCTGTCAGCACACAGCTCGACGCTGGGCTCAAATACGAACCGTGAGATCACAACCTGAGCCAAAGTCAGATGCTTAACCAACCAAGCCACCCAGGTGCCCCAAGACTACTAAATTTTAACCTGAGCAACTAGGTAGATGGCGTCATTTATTGAGCTGGGGAAGACTGAGAAAACATGAATCAAAGTTCTATTTTGAACATGTTAAGTTTGATCACTACAGGTCCATATGAATATGTCAAGTAGGCAGTTGAAGATATGGATCTTGAAGCTCAGAAGAGAATTCTGGGGATATAAACTTAGGAGTTATCTGCATATAAATGGCATTTAAAGCCATGGGACTGGATGTGATTTGGAGAAGAGACTCAGGTCTGAGCTATGGGGCTCAACGTTTAGAATTCCAGTTGAGAAGGATGAGTTTGTAAGAGAGTGCTAAGAAGCAGTGGCCAAAAAGGTAAGAGGAAAATCAGAAGAGTATGAAATACTGGAAGGCATGAAAGAAGTGGTTTTTTATTTATTTATTTATTCTTGAGACAGAGAGAGAGCATGAGTGGGGGAGGGACAGAGAGAGGGAGAGACACAGAATCCAAAGCAGGCTCCAGGATCTGAGCTGTCAGCACAGAGCCCGGTGCGGGACTCAAACACACAAACCGCAAGATCATGACCTGAGCCAGAAGTCAGACTTTAACCAACTGAACCACCCAGGCGCCCCAAGAAAGGAGTGTTTTGAGATGGAGCAGTTGACAACATTCAGAATCCAACCAGCGGCCAGGAAAAAAAAGATCAGACTGCCAACCTACTGATTTTTTTTTCTGAACCCATTTATGTGTCTTGGCTCTGGGACACTTCTCACCTCACTCAACCACAGACTTCAGCTTCCTTTAAACTTGAATCTACCTGGGGCACCTGGATGTCTCAGTCGGTTAAGTGTCTGACGTCGGCTCAAGTCATGATCTCATGGTTCGTGAATTCAAGGCCGGCATCAAGCTCTGTGCTGACAGCTCGGACCCTGGAGCCTGCTTCAGATTCTGTCTCTGTCTCTCTGCCCCTCCCCTACTCGCTCTCTGTCTCTGTCTCTCAAATATAAAAAATAAAACATTAAAAAAAAAATTTTTTTTAAAACTTGAATCTACCCTAAAACATAGAGACCATCTCTATACCTAAGCGAGATATGTACACACACTCACCATACTCATTCATCCAATCATACAATCATTTACACAATTGTTGAATATCTATTATATGCTAGGCCTCAAGGATAGGATCATCAGTGGGGCAAGAAAACCTAGTCCTGGCTCTCAAAGAGCCCTCAGGAGTTTGTATCAAATAAGACAAATAATCACTCAAATAAATATATGATAACAAACTGAGAAGTGCCATGAAGGAAAAGTGTAGGGTCCCACAAGAGCCTGTCACAGTGTCGCTTTGTTTAGACTGTGTGTGATATGGATAGCATCCAAATCTTTACTATATTCCAAAGCTTTACTATATCCCAAAGCCACCCTGGACAGAGACTTGGGAGACTGGGTCTAGTCTCAATCCTCCTATAAACTCACTAGGTGACCTTGAGCATGTCCTCTCCCCTCTTTGGGCTTTTTTCCTTTCCTGTATAATGGAAAGCTAGACCATAGGTTCTTAACTTCAGGTCCATGGTCGGACTTCAGGGATACAAAAATGTGTGGAAAAGTGTACATGTTTTTTTTTTCTTCTGGAAGTAGGCCCACAACTTTTATCAGATCTTTTGGAGGGGCTGTGACCCAAAGAAATCCAAGGACTTATGAAGCAAATAGTCGAGGGAGAATGTGAGCAGGAAACACAGATGACAAAATGATGGGATTCTGGAAGTAAGTTTCCCTTTCTTGAACACCATATTCCTCCCTTTACCTTGTCAATGTGTACAGTGATGGAAGGCCTGATCCCCCTTCTATGGAAGGTGAAGCTTAGTCACCACATACTGGTGCCCCAGCAAAAGGATAGGTGGAACCTACCACTGGTGGCCCCTCTCCAGAAAGAGAGCAAGGCCACCATTCCACACAAGAAGTCTCTACTCCCTTTGTGTCACTTGCTCCATGGTGACCTGGGTCCACCCCATATGGTCCCTCATCATTCTTGGCTGGAGTATAAACACAAACATATGTCCATATTGGAGGCAAGGTTAGGATGTTTACACAAAGGAACTTTCATTAGAAACTAAAGGGAACCCCCCCTCAAAAGAAAGCACACTGACAGGCACCTAGGTGGCTCAGTCAGTTAAGTATCCAACTCTTGATTTCATCTCAGGTCATGATCTCACAGTTTGTGGGATCCAGCCCCACATCGAGCTCCACACTGACAGTCCAGAGCCTGCTTGGGATTCTCTCTCTCCCTCTCTCTCTGCCTCTCCCCTGCTCGCTCATTCCCTCTCTCTCTCTCTCTCTCTCTCAAAATAAATAAAAACTTTAAAATGTTTAAAAAATAAAAAATTTAAAAGAAAAGTCATTTTGAGATTAACTAAGATGACTAAATTAGAAATTCTTTTTTTTTTCAGTTTATTTATTTTGAGAGAGAGAGAGCGTAAGCAGGAGAGGGACAGGGAGAGAGAGAATCCCAAGCAGCCTCTGCACTGTCAGCACAGAGTCCGACATGGGGTTCGATCTCACGTACCCCAAGATCATGACTTGAGCCGAAATCAAGAGTCAGGTGCTTAACTGACTGAGGCACCCAGGCACCCCTGTAAATTAGAAATTCTTGATTCCACTTGTAAGAATGTCTAGCCAAAAGACAGCTGGCTTGGCATAGTCTTCACGACATTAATATCCTGTCTCTTGTCTCCTCTAAGGAGATGGGAGAGAGATTCACATGGGGACCTCTCTGAGGTCACGTGAGTTTCCAACACTTCCAGAACCTGTATCTCAATTTTCTGCCAAGGGTTGGCCATACTATGGGAAAGAGAGGTACTTTCTTTGGGACCTAAAAGACTACAGGTGCAGGGGTTAGGGTTGTGAGGTATGTATGGAGTGGGAGGGACAAAAAGGCAGAGACAGCAGCCTGTGCATAGCCATTGTGTTTTATTGGATCTGGTATATTTTTTATTTTACAAAATATACAGAGGAGCCAAAAATGCAAAGCAGTCAACAGTGTTCTGATGGGAAAGGGGCCCCCCTTAGGGCCCTAACCCTCAGATCCTGACTGACTGGGAGAGTGAGCTAAATGGAACGAGCAAGTATATTAAAGGGTGGCAGCATGGCAAGAGTGGTCCCTGCCTTCTAGGTGTGTTCAGGGGCATCTCTGGGTAGACTGAATAGAACAAGAGGACACCCTAAGTAGGAACTGAGGAGGTTATGTGGGGGGTTAGAATAGAGCCTGGGTAGACCAAAGATTCTAGTGAATGCCCCCACACTGGTTTCAGATGTTATACATGCCTCCCTCCTTCCCCTTTCTTCTAAGGCATCCACTGACTCACTCCATGCCTCCAAGTCTAGAATAAATGGCAAATAAAAACTTAAGTGGCAGCCATCAGAGAGGGTAGGCTGAAACTTTGGCAGGTATCAGCTGGGACGTCTCCCACCCATATTCCCCTGCTGCTGCTACCACCCACGCAAACAGGAAGGAAGGAAAGGAAGGAATTCCAGGGATGAGCCAGACATCAAGATCCTAAGCTCTCCTGGGATACTGAGGAGAGTATGGAAATTTCTGGGGCATTTCCTAGGAGACAGAGTCTTCTGGAGAGCCTAGAAACTCATGTTATGATAGCCTGGGGTGGCAGACCTATGGAGCTTAGACCTATAGTCTGGCATGCCTGAGGTGTTACAATCTCCAGGCCTTTCTGCACTCTATCCCAGCCACCTGTGACCTAAACACCCAGCTCAGGCCTAAGATTTCTGCCTTTACATTCTTGTCCCCCTCTACAAGGCTCTCAAAGGCCCTGGTCTAACAGGCTAGTCAGTGCCATTGACAGAGTAGCCTCTCTGAGAAGGAAATCTTAGAGGAAATGCATATGAGATCAGAGATAGGGGAAGCACCATAGCAGGAGACATTTTGTCTAGTGTTGTAGTTTCTAGAGTAGGGATGGAAGGTGGAGAACCACTTATTTCCTATTAGCAGGGGCACCCTCAGCACTGAGTGTTAGGCAGGAAGGGGGTGGGAGCTGTTGGGAGTTGGGAACACTCCACAGGTACACTCTGCCCACTCCCTGGCCCCTTTAGCTCCAGCAGTCTGGAACACTGAATCCCCAGGCTCTTGGATTCCTACAGCCCCCAGGGCAGGGCTAGAATGAGGACAGACCTGGGAAGAGAAGGGTGAGTTCCACCTGGACTAGAGCTAGAGCATGGTCCCCCCAGGACAACTGACCCCCTCTCCTGGGGAGCTAGATGACATTGTCAAAGAGTTGCATGGACCTCATGATGTTCTCGTCCTGTAGCCATGATGTGAGAGAAGCAGATTGGAGAGAGAGAGAAATAAAAAGAGCTTATCAGAGACACAGAGAGGGACATTCATTCTGAAATGGGAACATTCAGAGACAGAGGCAGCAAGGAAGGAGACACCCAGAGAGACTTGTAGGGAGGGGCAGGCCTCCCTGAGTTGTGAAGGAATAGGACTCAGGAGTGTGGGCAAGTTAGGGAGATGATAATCTGCCCAAAGGAGCTTTCTCCTACATCACTGAATCGGACCCTGAGTCCAGACCAGGGAAGTATGGAGCGCAGGGACTTGTACCTTCTGGCAGGACTCAATGAATTCCTCAATGGTCACCACGCCATCCTTGTTCCTGTCCATCTTCTGCAAAAAGATAGTCAGAGAGAAGAGAAGGGATGACAGGAGAGAGGCAGGCAGAACTCAGGTAAGTTCTCTGCTGGGACCTTGCCTCCTTCCCTTGACTCCAGGACCCTCCAGCCTACCCAGTCCCAGGCACCTGGAAGAAGCTCTCCACATGCTCCCTTGGGGCCTCCTCTCGGAGCGCAGGATACGTATACTTGCCCATCATATCATAGATGGATTTCATGATATCAAGCATTTCCTGTTAGGCAAGAGAGAAAAGGATCCCTCCTCAGAGCCTCCAGCCTCCAAACCAGGAAGACTAGAGCCTAGGGCAGACCTCACCCCTTGCTGGTGATGCACGTGTGGGTCACATTTTCCTCCTAAGGGCTCTTTGAACCTCCCCTCACACATAGAAGCTCTCCAACTCTTCAGTCTCCCCACACCTCCTTGGTGATGCAGCCATCCTTGTTGAGGTCATACAGATTGAAGGCCCAGTTTAGCCTGTCATCTATGGTTCCCCGAAGAATCACCGACAAACCAGCCACGAAGTCCTGGGAAGGAGAGAGGAGGGAACTGGTTCTTCAGATACCCTTAACCCAATCCCCTCTCTGGGTTTGGCCTGTGGATCTTGGCCCTGATGCTCCAGGAAACAGGCCTCCCTGACCCACCTCCTCCAGCTCACCTCGAAACTGACAGAGCCATCATGGTTGGTGTCAAAGGCATTGAAGAGGAAAGTGGCATATGTGCTGGAGTCTGTAGGGTAAGCGTGGATAAGTTTGGCTTTCAGACAGGAGAGGACTTCCTACCCCACACCCCTCTTTATCATTTGGCATTCCTAGCCCCTCCAGAACCCTCTCCCCAACTCAGCCTAGAGATGGACAGCTGCTTCCTCTCAGGCCTTGTCCCCTCACCTCCTTGAGGAAAGAACTGAGAGTAAATCTGCTTGAAGTTCTCCTCGTTGACAATTCCGCTGGGACATTCCTGGGGGGCGGAAGGGGGGTTAGAAACCAGACTGAGAGCAGAAACAAAACCCCCTTCCACTCACCACCACCTACTCTATGCCAGAGACTCCCAGAGAAGGAAAATCTTCCTGTCTCCAGGGAGCTCACCATGTAGTTCTCTTAAGGAAGGCAAGACTTCTCTTCAGCGCACAAGTTTAAAAAAACAGAACTAACCAGACGGCCAGTCTACAGGCTCCGCCTCGTCTCAAATCTGCTAGAGCTTCCTGCTAGAAGTTTGGTCAGCGGGGACGCGGGGACGAGGGGCCGCTCCACCTCCCCTTCCTTCTCTTACCCCTATAAGCACCCAGGCCAATCCTTCGGGGAAGTTTCGGATAGGCCCCGCCCCCTTGCCCCACCCCTCACCCTGTCTGGCCTGGCTCTGTACTCACATTCTTGAACCCCCGGTACAGGACCTGCAACTCTTTGCGTGTGAACTTGGTTTGCTCCTGCAGCTGCTCCAGACCCTCTGGCCGGTGACACACGGTGGACAATTCAAACTCATCCTCCACGCTGTCTGCGGGGGGGTGGGAGGGGACGAGGGGGGAGGGGACAGCCGCGCCTCAGGCCCAGCCTCCAGGACCCCGCTTCAAAACCATCCTCCCCATCTCCAACGCCAGAGACCAGCCTGCCAGTTCCCTTGGACCCCGGTCCGAGGACATCAAGGCAAGGAGAGAAGACGCTGGTCAGCTTCCAAGTCTATCAGTTGTCCGGGCCCATGGGCAGGCCTGGCCCCACAGCCAGGGGTCCGACTCATCGCTGCCCTGGGCCCTTGATCCCTGGTTGAAGGAGAAGGCCCCCCAGCCCCATCTTCGTCCCAGAAAGGGAAGAGTAGAAAAAAAGGGTTCAAGAGGAAGCGTCTGAGGGTCCAGGCTCCGGACCTTCCCTGACCCACTCAGATCCATGGAGCCCCACACTTGCCCCGCCCAGATCCTTTTCTCCAGCCAAGCCCCACCTATCCCAGCCATGCTCCAGCCATGCCCCGCCCAGCCCCAGCCAAGCCCATCCAGACCCCACCCCTACCCTGCTCCCAGTAAACCTTAGCGAAGGCCACATCCCTGGCCCCATCTCAGTCCTGCCCCAGCTCCCAACATCCAGTCCCCAGGCAAGTACCCCCACCCCACGCTCTCCAAGGCACCCGCCACCGCCCCCACCAGGACAGTAAGTCACCTGGGTCCAGCGGGCGGGGTCTGTGGGGGCGGAGGGAGGCTGGGACTGCTAATGCTGAAGGGAGCGAACTGTCACCGAGAAAGTGGAAGACCCGGCCAACTGCAGACACACACCTCGCCCCTCACACTCAACAGCAAATCTCACAGACCTGCGTGTTACAGTGCACACACCCCAGCCCCGTGCACAGTGGCACACATAACGAACAAGCACAAACACACACGAAACAGACCCTACACACATATGCTTGGGGGACTCACGCCTGTCCTTTTCCTGAAGCTAGCCCCATGTGGAATCAAACACAATGACACTCTCAAAAACTACAAAGTGGGCCTCTGTGGCTTGCAACATTCAGTATGATCCCTTGAGACGGGCAAGGCCCAACTGAGGAAACAGGCCTGGAGAGAAAGCGAGGCCACTCAACTGGGGACCAGGCTGGGACTAGAAAGCCCAAGTATCCTGGCACCTGGAGGAAGGCGGGCTCCATCCTCTGCACCTGCATCCATCCAGTCGGGGCAAGGGCAACTTGCATCTCGAGGCCCAAAACATGCCCAGGGCAGGGTGGGCGGCCACAGCCGCAGACACTAACCTAGTTAAGCCACGACAGACCTCGCAGCAGTCTGGTTTCGCCCGGCCACATTGGCCATACCCACACAGTCTCAGGTCTCAGCCCTGCCACACTGGCCACGCCCAAACACCCGGGGCTCACTCGTTTTTGCTGACCAGTGAGGCCCACAGGCACTTGGGCCCCGCCCCCAAAACTGGCCACGCCCACACATTCCACAGGCTCCGGGTTCTATAGCTACACCCTCCTCACACTCGGGCCAACCAGCGCCCACCCCCACCCCCCAAGCCACATTGGTCACGCCCACACACACACTCACACTAGCTGGCCCGCGCGGGTCACACAGGTCACACCCCAACACAGACAACCCGCCCCCGGAAGCACAGGAGAGGCACTTGCTTTCACTGACTGAGGGCAGGGCTTGGGGCCCGCAGCAAGGCAGCAGCTTGAGGAACCGCTGCTTCAGCGCTTTTTTAGTGGGCCCTGGAGGGTGGCCTGGGAAGAGAGAAGACCCCAGGAAGGCACATTAACCCCCACTGTCCCTCCGATCCCCTCCCCACCATCACAAATCAACCTGACGGGAAGCCGGTGTTGGGAGAGGACGGGAGGAGGAGAATGGTGAGAGTAGCTGGGGCTGGGTTAGGGAAGCCCAGTGGGGTTCACAGGCATATAAAGTCCACTCAGACACCTTGCATAATGGGACACAGCCGGGGACCGTGAGGCCACCGAGGGGAGATGGCATTGGCCTTGGTGCCTGCTGACCCAGTGCCCTTGGCTCCAGTGCTATAGCTGGACCTCTGAGGGTGATGTCCAACCCAAGGACTGCCTAAGTAGGAACACCTGTCTCTGCCTCTCTCTCACACACACACAGTGACAAACGTGTATAGTGACACACAGGATGATAAATCACAGTGATGGAGGCCATACAGCGACAGCTTGATACCCAGGAACACACTCAAAACCAATGGCCTAATTTTTTAAAGTTTTATTTATTTAATCTCTATACCCAATATGGGGTTTGAATTCACAACCCCGAGATCAAGGGTCACACACTTTTTCAACTGAGCCAGCCAGGCACCCCCCACAATGGCCTAATTAAGCAGGCCCCAACACATGCACACACACACAGGTACACACACACACACACACTTTGACACAGTACTCCTTAATACAAATATATACAGATGTGGCCTAGGAAAAACATGACACATACATATGAAGACCCACATTGGCCATTTTCCATGCAGCATGAACAAACCATACAAGAATACATGGGACAGCATGACACGGTGTGTTAAGGACACTACAAACACTGTGCCACTATAACATGACACATATCAAGGTCACCAGGACATATAATCATATATTGTGACTTAGGTACCCATGGCACCCCAGATACCTAAGACTGCACCTCACCAATAGAACCCATGTTTGTTCTGCCTACCTTTCCTTCCTATAACCCCTCATTTCAGGGCACTTAGAATCTCCCTGTCAGGGGAACAGAGTTCCTCATCAGCTAACCCACCCACTCTAAAAGTGTGTCCCCTCCCAGTCCTTTCGTATGGCTTGCTCTTTGAAGGTGACATGATAGCAAACTTTGAAGCAATAACAGACCTTCCAGATGAGCATTTTGGTGTAATGTGGGGCTATCCAGAGCCGATGACCACAGTTCCTCTCACTTCCCCTTATTTACACCCCTGTCCTACAGTGCCAATTGCACCCTAGGGAGAGACTCCACGTTCTTGTGCCTGTCTCCTGGCTGCACCCACCTCCAGACTCCAGAGCCAGAGCTCACAGAGACCTAGCACACTGCTTGAAACTGGCCTCAGTCCATTCCTGGAGGGGCCCAATTTCCTTGGGTTGTAGGTTCCTAGGGCACCCGACATCCCACGCAGGCCCCGCCTCCCCTCAGGCAGGCTCCGCCCTTCAGGAAAAGGCTCTGCTCCCAGAGGGTAATTGAAGTCCATGCCTTCCCCTCCAATACGTCCTTTCTCCCCCTCCCCCTCAGAGCTATTGAGAGGTAGGAGGGAGACGGGAGGGAGAGGTAGGAGGGTGGGCCGAGTCGGGATCGATGGCGGCCTGGCCCCCCGCCCAGGGCTCCATTAGCCCGGACTTTGGTTTCCCGAAGCCGGATTGTGCCTGGGGCCTCCGGTGGTGTAGTCGCAGCTGGACTGGTAAGGGCTGGGGGGGGGGGGGGGGGGGGGGGGGGGGGGGGGGGAACACGACACCACCCCCACCCCCGCCTCTCCCAACCTCCAGCTGTTCACACATCCACTTCCCTCCCTGGTCCTCCCAGGAATCATTCTCCTCTGCCTTCAGCCTACAGGACACCTGGGTTTCCTGGATGACCCTCTTCCCATCAAATAGTCTAAAGGGGATGGATGGCAAGTCAGAGCCAAACTGACTTCATCTTTTCAGGATTGGATGAGCCCCTGCTCCCCACTCCACTCCGATAAATGTAGCAAAGGATGGAGGGTGGGTTAGGGGATTCCTGCTCTTACTGAACCCCTGAGTAGGCAATTCATTGGCCCTTCCACGTTTCCAGTTCTCTTCACATCTTTGCAGTTCTCCCTGGTGTCTACCCTATAGCCCTCCTATCATGGTTCTTGCCTACTTTCCTGTCCCTTGTGGAACTGGAGAACAGCCATGCTATAGAGCTGCACAGTTATTGGTGTGAAGAGGAGGGAGAGGCCAAACCTCTCTGGGGGAGGCAGAACCTGCTCTCCTCTCTACCTCCAATATCATTCTCCCCACTAGACTTTGGGGTGGGGTGGAGAATTCCCAATGCCTAGGCCTTGAAGATCCTGAGAGAAACTGGGAGTGGCAAGGGGGCTTGGGAAGCAAGGTCCCTGATCTGTTCCACCCCTCACCCTCCTGCCAGAGCTGATTATAAATGTCTCATTCCCAGTGTTCCCACTCCTACCCCTCCAGAACCCACCCCCATCCCAAGCCTTGACTATGGAGCTGGTATTTTCTCAGGGAACTCTGGGAACAGCCATACACACAATCTAGTACCCAAAGAGGCCCAACTGCACAACCAGTCCCCCTCAGGCAGTCATATCCACATCTCACAAAGCCACACACCCGGTCCCTCTACACATTAAATCACATCCTTGTCACATGCAAAGGCTCATACAGTCACACACTTTATCCTTTTTCACATAGAGGAACACACAGTCACACCCCCTGTATCTCTCACACAGAGTCCACATACACCACACTCTGTAACCTACACCTGCAAGGATGGAGGTGTGGAGAGTCACACACATCTTCAGGGCCATTGTGGATCCCTGGCCCCAAAGGGATACCCCAGAAGTCTGATGTTACCTCAGGATCCCTCAAACCTCCTTCCTCTACTCTAGATAGCCCTGCCTGTCTCCAGACCTCTCCTCATGCTCCGAATGGATTCCCCTCATCTCCATACCTTAGTCCTCCCATGCTGTATATCTCTTACCCCCATGCCCCCCATGAAACACCTAATGACCTCTCTCTTCACTTCCCTCAGACATCCAGCCCCCAGATCCCCTCCTCACCTCCCTCAGACACTCTTCCCCCCACCCACTCCTTGAATTTCCCTCTTTACCTCTCTCAGATGTCCTGTCCCCCAAGCAAACTGCCTCACCTCTCCCTAGATGCCCTGTCCCATTACTAACATGCTCTGTGACTGGTCATAAAATCAGAGTAAAAGCCCCTCCCCAAGCATGGCAAAAGCTCAGACTATTGTGAACACACCAGACACCTGGGTTACCTTCCAAGGAGACAGGCTCGAAAAGTAAACTTCTCCCAGGACCTTGACAAACAGAGCGAGGACCACGAGCACAGCCACCATCTCCAGCCCTTCCAGGTTCATGGTGGGCCTGGGGCATGGCCCCCACCAGCTGAGGGTCAGACACACTGGGCTCTCCTCACACCACCTCCCCCTCAGGCTCCCCGGGCAGGAGTAAGAGGACCGCCTGCAGCCTCCTCACCCTCCCTCAGATCTCCTCCCTCTCCCGCCCCCTCACCCCGCCTCTGCCCCGCAAGCCTCCCAGTCACAGCCTTTTCCTCTTCGCGGGGCCACTTCAGCCTACAGACCAGCATCTCCTCAGGAGCCTTTGGCGTGAAGGATATGGGACAAAACAGGCCAGGCCGTAAGAGGAAGGCAGCGACCTGCCTCTGTCCCTGAGGACAGCTTCCCCCAGACACCTTGTGGCTACTCTGTGCCAAAGGGAGGGGGTAGAGGGAGGAGCTGTGCTTAGGGAGAGGGCAGGGAAGGGCAGTGTGTGTGTGTGTGTGTGTGTGTGTGTGTGTGTGTGTGAGAGAGAGAGAAGAAGAGAGAGAGAGAGAGAGAGAGACTATGAGCTACACGTGTATAAGGAATAGATATATGAGTCAGAAATTATAAGTGTCTGGGCATTTTCTTGTGTGTATTCCCGTGTCTGACTATATAGAGAGTATGTGTTTCTCCTCTTATGTGTGTCTCTGTGTGTGGTTTGCACATGATTGCGTATGTGTCTATTAGGTGTGTGTCTTGTGTATGGGAGTAAGTGACCTGGGTGTCCATAGTATGTGTGTGTGAGTGCACTGGCGTATGTCTGAGTGTGTGGGGGGCATGAAGTGTATGGGTTTCAGCAGGGCTGCGGGATAGAGGTCTGAAGACTGGTAGTATAGCTGTGTCCTATAATTAGGAGTATGGGTCTACGGTGATTGCATAATTGTATCTGCACGGAGCTGTATGAGAATATAAGCTGGGAGAAGGCAGTGACCTCCCCAGTCAGGAGGACACCACCAACATCGATCGCGGTTGTCATAGAGACAGTGAGGCGGGAAGCACTCTCTTTCCACAGCCCACGGACAGGGAAACTGAGGCCCAGGGGAGGGAGGATTAGGTCCAATAGCCGGGGCAGGAAAAAGGCTGCTTAGCCTTATCATGACCCTCTGGGGAGGGGACTTATGGTGGCTGCCTTTGGGATCCACTGATTCAAGTTCTTTGGAAGAGGAGAGACTGAGCTCCTCCCTTCCTCTCAGCCAGGATCTGCCAAAGCCTTGCCTGCTCCTGAACTGTTACTGGGCTGATGGAGAAGAATGATGGAGAGTAGGAGGGAAATCTGAATCCTCCAAGGGAGCCATCCACCCTCACCCCCTAGAGCATTCCTGGAGCCTCTCCCCCATCTTTCCAGCTCCTTCCCATTGCTGCTGTTGCTGCTGCTGCTGCTGGCTGTGTGTCTGTGTGTGGGTGTGGGTGTGCACATGTGTAGGGGTGGGGAGAGGCCTGCAGAGCCAGTGAACCAGAAGACAACTACTGCCATAGCTGGCTGACATTGATTGAGCACTCACTGTGTGCTAGATAATATGCTATGTGCTTACAGACATGGTCACAGTTTTTAAGATTTTATTTTTTAAGTAGTATCTACACCCAACGTGGGGCTCGAACCTATAACCCAGAGATCAAGAGTCACACGCTCCACTGGCTGAGTGAGCCAGGTGACCCCAGACATGATCATATTTAATTTTCA